TAGGATACAAAAGGCCTTATGATGTAAAAGATCAACTTCCAAGGACCATGGTCTAGGTGGGGGTTTCAACAACAATGATAAAACATTCTCTTTCATTAAAATGACTTGAATACTCTTAACCCATTCCTTAAAATTTCCTCCACCTACACTTAAACCTTTAAAATTAGGAGGAAGAACCTGTACATTGTTAAACATAGAAATAGACATTGATTGATGTTCAGGGTGTGGTCCGTCCTGGAACGGGCAATAAGGCATTGGAATGGAAGCATGCAGCACAGTGTCTTCCATCTGGCATTCTGACAATTGTTCCTCCCCAATGGGAGGGATTAAAACCTCACGTTGTGCGGATGCAAAGCTTGTTCTGGTTTGATTACAAGAGTTCAAGGTTCCTCTCTGGTGCTCATCTCTAGTAAGTTTCGGACGCGCTCCTAGGTTCCTATCTCCAGTTGAGGCATCCTCTGGAATCGCCCTGGATGTCAGTGTTGTCACGGATGGATATGTCCCACTCGTAGCGTGCGCTGACATCAGGGGTGTGTTGGTACGTGCAGCTACTATTCATTGAGCCGATGGCACCTGCGAACCATCGCCTAGAATGGTTGCTAGTGTTTCTATTGCATTTGCAACCTTACACTCAACATAAGAGTCTCTTGAGTTTTTAGCTGGAGTCATTGACGTCATCAAGGGAGCTAGAATTTTTATGGCATGATCTATAATGGTTTCGACAGCAGGTGGCACTGTATCAACTTGGCCATGCTGGTCTAACAAAGAAGCAGGGACATTCAAATCAGGCAGTCTGTTAACCCCCATTCTCCACTTATAGTCCGAAATAGGGGTTTTAGAAAAAGATTAAAAGTCTCTTACCGGTCCGGTATTTTCTAGGACTTCGATCTTATTTCCTTTAGCTGTCATCACGGCTGGATTCTTCAATGACTCGCTAAAATCAGCAATCGGGTTCTCACTTGTTACTGGCAAACCTAAAGCTTGAAGGATTGCCTTCCTGAGTTCATCATCCACCTCTAAGTTTGTTTTCGAGGCCTGAAGTGGCGTTCTTTTAGTCTCTACTTCTTTAGGTGATGGTGGTTTACTCACTGCATTAGGCATTTCAAAAAATAAGGCTTCTGCTCCAAAACCTGCAGCTCCACTACACTCTTGGTCAATTAGAGTTTAGGGTTTTTCAGCCAAAACAGTTTTGGCCTGGGCCCCAGACTTTGTGACTCCATGCTTTTCACTGCAGACTTTGTGACTCCATGCTTTTCACTGCAGCCCTAGTCAACATCTGTTTTTCCTGCATTAATTCAATTGCAGACATTTCAGTCTAGCGTATCGCCACATGAGTGTAGGTTCGCTAAACCATCCTCTGCTACCAATTGTCAAGATGGGGTAGAGGGTTGTCCCTGAACCGTGAACCAGCTCACGAGCAAACACACTGGGACTGAAATAAAACTAGCAGAGGAGTCTTGTATAAAAATATACTTTACTTCAAAATGTTTAAAAAACATTATATCTTTAAAAAGGCACATTAATAACAAAGTCTTATCTTGGTTAAATGAAGCCAATCCATCTCCCTAAATTCCTCTCCACAATACCGAAACAGTCCATAAGGAAAAAACTAACATGACATTAAACAGCTTCGGTGTCGATACATCATCGAGGTGGTAGAAGGGCAGCAGCATAGGCTTCACAGCTAAAAGTCACCTGTGAAAAACAATTCAATCAGCAAACGTGGCTTGAAGCTCCTGGGAGGGAAACTGTCCAGCAGCAACAGTTCAGATGTTGGCTTGCGTGCTTCAACTCAGCAAAAGGCAAGCCGAAATTGGAGATTTCAGAAGGTTCTCAGCTATCTCAACTCACAGTTGCAGCTAGTTCCGTGGGAGTATCTTTACACAGCTCAGCTCCTCTTCTGCTGCTATCTCTGCTGCAGCCGTCAGGACTCTTATCTGAGTTCTCCCTTCTGCAGCTCTGCTCTGGGTCCAGGTGCTTCAGCACTGGCTCTGCATCTAGGCCTAAACAGCGTTTAGGCCCAAATAGCAAGCAGAAAGGTCCGTGCTTATATGGGGAGTTAACCTGCAATTAACTAGGGCGGGGAAGGCTTGCAGTTAATTGCAAACAGGAAATGGCTTGATTGGATCCATACTGTTTGTACCTGATCAAGTAGCTACAGCAATCCTGAAAACACTCGTGACATCTACTTAGTTGGTGCCTATAGTATACACCTATGCCAATGTCATTCCTTTTTCCTTTTATTTTAACCCATATGCATTCGAGGAGGATTTCATCCTTGGTTTTATGCATTTCTATAGTGATTTTTTAATGTATAATGCAACTCCACCTCCTCTTTTGTTAGGTCTGTTTCTTTTGAACAGTTTATATCCTTCCAGCAGTATATTCCAGTCAAGAATTTCATCCACCAAGTTTTGCTAATGGCAACTATATCATACCTGTCCTCATGTACTAGTATTTCAAGTTTGCCCTATTTGTTTCCCAAACTTTGAGCATTAGGCATCTGAGTCCTTTATGGCTGACCCTGGGTATGCTGCCTACATCTCCTGTTTTATATCTGAGTCTTTCTTCACTCCCACCACTCCCTACCTATTTGTTTAGTTAGCTGTCTTGGGGATTATGCCAGGGATTAGGTCTTAAAGATTTTAAAGATTGGTCACCCTCCCTGCTCTGTTTTAATTTAAAGCCTCTGGGATAAGATAAGCCAGTCATTTTTCAAATACATTCTTCTCAGCCCATCCCCTGCCAGAAGGCCTTCATGTAAGTAATGTGGACCATGGTCTAAGAATTCAAAGTTCTATTGACACCACCACCCGTTAAGCCACTGGTTTATTTCTAAAATTCTCTGCTCCCTCTTTGGAAGTACAGATGACTACTACACCATCTGTACTCCTAACTCTTTAGCTTTCATGCCATAGCGTCTTGATAGTGTTTTTGGTTCATTGTATCATTCATCCCCACATGAAAGAGAAAGATGTGGGCTTGATTATTTTAGTAAGGCTGTCAGTCACATCTTTGATTTTTGTTTCTGGGAGACAACATACCATGTTTTCCCGAAAATAAGACCCAGTCTTATTTTCTTTTGGGCCCCAAAATAAGCACCAGGTCTTATTTTCAGGGGATGTATTACCCGTTTACCTTAGAACAGGGGTGAAATGCTACCAGTTCGGACCGGTTCTGCCTTCCGAGTAGGGAAAATTTTGACTGGTTCGGAGAACTGGTAAGGAAAATTTTGATTGGTTCTGCCCATCTCCCCCTCCTCTCACCTCTCCTATATTCTATTGTTTATTAGCTCAGCTGATTTGCGTGACAGAGCGATTGCCGCCTCAGCTGAGCTAAGAAATAGTAAATGAGTCTTAATCTCATTTGCCGTCAGCTAGAATAATAAAGGGACACTTTCTGCCGCTTTTTCCCCTTCCCCCCCCCCCCCCCAAGCAGGGAAAGGAATACTAGCTTTAATGAGATGTCTGGGCTTCTTCCGGAGCAAAAGCAGAGAGCCTCTTCCACAGAACCTCTCTGTCTTCTATTTTTCTTTCACAGCAGAACAAAAAAGCCTCTTCCTGTGAAGGCTTTTCCAGTGTATGCTGATTTTCTTCTGGAGCAAAAGAAAGCTTTTCTAATGAAGCAGTTCCACTGGTTAATTGTTCTCCCTGTCAGGAAGTTTCTCCTTAGTTTTAGGTTGCTTCTCTCTTTGTTCAGTTTCCATCCACTGCTTCTTGTTTTGCCTTCTGGTGCTTTGGAAAATACATTGCCCCCCCCCTTCTTTCTGGCAGCCCCTTAAAAGCCTGTTGCCTATCACACTCTTGGGCAAAGTGTGTGGGCCATTTCCTCCTTTCAGTGGTCCATAAAAGTACATAGTATGTAGATAAGAAAGTTGAAAAAAAGTGAACAACATTTTTACAGAACTATAGATATGTTGAGGCTGGGTGTGACAAAGAATGGCTGGGAGGGGAAGGTCCAGGTGAGGCACCCCTTGACGTGAGTGACATTGAGTTGGCCATGCCCACCCGATCACATGACCACAAAGCCACGCCCACAGAAGCGGTAGGGAAAATTTTCAGATTTCACCACTGCCTTAGAACCACTGCAGCCCACACTCTGACACCTGTTGCACTGCAGCCTGACTTGTTCTGTGGCTGCTTATGGCCACTTGCAGCCAGACGCCTCATGGTGCATCACACCTGTGCCGCTGCTCGCGGCACAAGGCTGTGTGGCTTGTCGTGCCAGTGCCGCTGCTTGTGGCAGGCCACGTGGCATGTTGAGCCATTGAGCATGTGAGTGGCAGCACCGGCGCAATGAGCCATTTAGTCTCCTGCAGTGAGCGGCGGAACTGATGTAACATGCCACATGGTGTCCAGCTGTAAGTGGCACATGTCCTGCTGCAAGCAGCAGCACTGGCTCAACATGCCATACAGCCTCCTGCTGTAAGCGGCAGCACTGGGCAAGTGCCACATGGTGTCCAGCTGTAAGGTCTTAACAAGGGCTTATTTTGGAAGTAGATCTTATATTAGGATAGGACAGAAGATAGACTAAAAAAAATATTAAATTTGTCAAATTGAGGAACATGAAAGGAGAAGACAATAGGTGAGATTAGTATGATGTCATTGGATTATTAATATCAAGTCAGAATGCCAAGTATTTGTACTCATAGCACGATGCCACATACCATTTACAAGGAATCAAACCTATTCTTGTTTGTGTTTATCATTCTTTTTTAATGGAATCATGGTAAAATAAAATTAATTTCAATATATAATGATCAAGAGTGATGATTGCTAGGTGTACAAATTATATATTTCATAACACTCATCTTTTCTAACAAAATATCAAATATGTCTAATCAGATTTGATCTTATTTACAAGAGGATGAAAGGCCTCATGGCAGCACACTCTTGAGTATACTTTAGCAATAGGTTCCTGGCCTGTATAGACCTCAAGCCTCTGTTTTTCTTATTAGGAATAGGTTTATGAAGCACCTAATTGTTGTCTCTTTCTTGCAGGTGGAATTCCATTTATCCTCACTGCAGAGTTCTTTCCACAGACTCAAAGGCCAGCAGCGTTTATGATTGCAGGAATAACCAACTGGCTCTGCAATTTCATAGTTGGACTACTTTTCCCTTTCATTCAGGTATGGGCTCCGAATTACAGAAGGTACGAGAACATTTTAAAAATGGCAAAATATGATTTGCAGTAAAATCAATATATAACCCTCTTGATCTATTTATAGTGTCTTTTTTCAGTGTTTTAAAACTTCTGATTTATTTATTTTTTATTTTAAAAAGAATAGCTTTAAGTCATTACATGCAAACCATCATGGGTCGGGGACATAAAAATAAAAACATAGGACAATTTAAATAAAAATTAACAAAAGAATTAATTGAAAAATACACATGAAAAGACGAGGCTCTGAAAAGGTATATTGATCTGTTCCGGTTTATGAGGCAACTTAATGTGCCAGTTTGCATAATACACACAAAGGCTAAACCTCTTTAAAACATCCAAAAATGAGAAACCACAAGCTCCCTTGGTAACTTATACAAATCTTACTTAAGGAAGTTTTTCCTTACATTTAAATAAAGCTTAGGTAACTACAACTTATACCCCTTTTCCACCCTAATTTTTGTGACCATGGAAAATAGTTCTGATCAACTTTCCTACATAATTTTGTATACAATTAAATAGCACAGTTTTAATATGACCAGAGTTAGAGGTTAAGAATATGTGTGGATAGTCCACAGTAGCTCAGGCTGGATGATTTTTTACAGGTTTTATTGTTTTTAAGCTAGAGAGATCAAAATGGAATGCTCAGCTTCAAAGCATATTATGAAATGCTGGTAATAGAAGGCATGTGTTTAGTCAAAGGAAGATGTTCTTATACATTTGTAGACCAAGACTGGCTTGATATCTGTGGTAAGGATCCTGATAATCCAGGTTTGATTTTGCTTTGTGCTTTCAGGAAGGGTTGCAAACATACTGTTTCCTGGTTTTTGCTGCCATCTGTCTTATTGGAGCCACTTTCCTTTTCTGTGTTTTACCCGAAACAAAAAAGAAAACACTTGCTGAAATCAACCAGGCATTTGCCAAGAAGAAAATGCCTCTGGAAATCCATGAAATGGGTCATTTTGATCCTAAGGGAAAATCAAGTGAAGTACAAGAATCCAATTTTTGTCATTCATTGGGAAATGAAAAAAACAAAAGTGAAATGGCCTAAATTCAATTTTTACATTTTTTTTTTTTGCATTTTAAAAAGCTATTTATTAATTGTCGTGGTTGGAGAGAAGTTGTGACTAGAGTTGATAAAGAGTCAAAAAATGGGGAATTGGATTATTTGAACAAGATCATTGATTCATTTAACTATGCAAATTCACATCTGAGCATTGAGGCATATTAAGTAGCTATCATTTCCAATGAAACTTCCTTGATTAATTGTAGGAGTGCAGTTGACTTTTACTACTAGTTTGGGTTCATGGTTCAAGCATGGTTCAAAAACCTATTTTTTATTTACAACTTTAATTAAAATTCAGATTTTTTTATAGCGAAGATTGGATTTATGGAGGGTTTAAACCTTTTGAGGTCAATGCTAAAATAATTTGTCCCATATAGATAACTTCTTAGACTCATGGCAATTCTATCTATGAGGACATACTTAAATCTCAGATCTTCAGTATCTTTTTCTCTTTAAATATAATCAGGGTTTTAGGTTTTTGCGGACTATTTTTGTTTTACATCTTTGAGTGGCAGTTACTTTGTAAATCTAGTGCTTACAGTATCTTTATCCCAAGTCAGTCCAATGATGAAAACCTATCTTGCTTTGTGGTTCATCTTTATCATTATAGTGTATTTTAATACTGTATTTTTATACTGTATTTTTCGGAGTATAAAATGCACTTTCCCCTCCTAAAAGAGGGTGAAAATTTGGGTGTGTCTTCTACACTGAATGTAACCCCACCCACCCACTGGGCCCCACCCTTTTGGAGTTTTTGGAGGCTGCAAATGGAGCCTCCCAAACAGAGAACCTCTCAAACAGCCTCCAAAAGGTCCGTTTGAGAGGCTGCCTTTGCAAAGAGAAGCTCCTTTGCAAACGGAGCTTTTGGAGGCTACAAACACAGCTTCTCAAACGGAGAGCCTCTCAAGCAGATTTGTTTTTTTATTTTCCTCCCCCCAAAATAAGGTGTGTCTTATACTCCGGAGCGTCTTATACTCTGAAAAATACGGTAGTTTTAGTTACATAATGCTGAACACAAGAATGATGTGTTACAAACTATGAAAGATGCAAGAATAGGTAAGCTGTATTGGGGTGAGGCAATTTTAACTGCCACTTATGTCAGTGTTTGTTGCAAAAATCAAATCCAGAAAGCACACACAGGCAGACTGATGCAGCAGGAATCATTAACTTCTTTATATACACAATGTTGTGGTCCACCAGCAGCCTGCGAAGCTGGCAGCAGCGTTGGAGAGTGAGGAGGCTGGGGAGGACCATGGGCCAGTCCTGGAGTCTGGGGAAGGCTCGGACAAGGGCTCTGCGTTGGAGGCAGAGAAAGGGCCATCTGGGAGGTACGTGCTGCTTCTAGAGCCTCCAGAGTCAGACCTCAGCGAGGCAGAGGAACAGGGGGAACCTGTTCCCAGTGTGCGCATGCACACAGCTGCCAGAAGGCAAGAACAGTTAAAACAAAAGGGATGACTTGGGAGTAAGGCTGGGAGATGATTGGCCCCTCCCATAAGACTTAAAAGAGGAGCAAAGGCACGTGGGCCTTTGCAGGAAGCAATGTTTGTTCATTCGGTTCAGCCTAAAGCCTGAAGCTCTGTTTTATTCTGGACTCTGTGTGGCTTTGCCAATTAGGTCTTTGGCAGCGTGTCAAGGGAGATAAAGGTTGGTGATTATCCCGAAGGACTTCTCCCGAAGGACTCTCTACAACTAATTAGGACTCATCTGTGAATGAACAGAATTCATAGCTGTTGCAATAAAAGAGGTTTTTGGGACTACTTGTGTGTTTTAATGATTCAGGAAGCCTAGGTCAGAACACACAATACATGAAATAAATTTACAATACCAATATAGATTCTTCTTCAACATAGTAGCAGTTACAAGCAAAACACAAGCAGCAGTACAGCAGAGATGCAAGTCCACACTTGTTTCATTTCAGAGCTCTGCACAGAGCTTAATACAAAGACAGCCTCCTCTATATAGGGCAGTTAAGCTTCTGCACAGACTCAGTTGCCTAAGCCACGCCCAAGACTTCTAGCTTAAGTTTCTGTTTTTAAACAACCTTCATTGGCTGAGCCTGTTACCATGCCTATTCATTGCCTGACCTTGTTACCATGTCTCCATTCTGTCCCTATTGGCTGATCTATTCCAGTCCATGAATATTCATACTCTGACACTCCTCCTTTCATGACTGGAATAGAAATAAAATCAAATAATTTAATATTCTTCCTAGACCTGTATTTGAAGACCCAAATTCTTTAGATGGAGATGGATAATACAGATAATATAGTTCTTCTGTCCCAAATGAGGCAGAGAGCTCTCCTTAAATTCAACAGCAGCCATCCTGCAATCTTTCTCTTCCTGGTTTCTAGAAAGCAGTCTTCTAGCTCAATTACAATTCAATCTTTCTGTGTGTTCTGGGCCCATAACCTGTCAGAGTTTGTTGCAAAAATCAAATCCAGAAAGCACACACAGGCACTCCGCCGCCTATTCGCCACACACGGGCTGCTGGACGTCCTGGTCTCCGACAATGGCCCGCAAATCACAGCCAAGACCATAGAGGATTTCCTGGCAAGCCAAGGCATCCGGCATGCCCTCATCGCCCCGTACAGGCCAGCTGGAAATGGACAAGCAGAAAAAATGGTACGGCTCACGAAGGACACACTCACCAGGATGGGCCCAGGAGACTGGCAGGAACAAATAGACAAGTTCCTGCTGGCACAACACATCACACCGCACGCCACAATGAAGAAAAGCCCAGTCGAGCTTCTGATGGGGAGAAGGCTCCGCTCACCGCTAGATAGACTCCATCCACAGTACAACCCGAAAGACAAGCCGATCAACCCACCACTGACGCGAAGCTTCGCTAGCGGAGACTTGGTGTTCGCGCTCAACTTTCAGGGCCAGCCGAAGTGGATCAAGGGTCGGATCAGGAGAGTGACGGGCCCAAGATCATACGAGGTGGAGCTGGATGACGGCCGGTCATGCAGAAGGCACATCAACCAACTCCGCAAAAGGGTGAGGGGAGTCAAAGGAAACCACCCCAACGAAGTAGGACTGCCACACCCAGACGAGGTAGACCTACAACACCCCGTCGAGGTAGAGGTACCACCCCCCAGCAAGGTATGAAATGCAACGCCGCTATGGGAACTTACTTTCATAGTTGGTGGACCTGTCCCCAAGCAAAAGAATATTGGGCTAGAATTCAAAAATGGATTTTAGAAATCATAGGATGTAGAATAGATTTGAACCCGGAAATGTTTTTATTAGGCATGAAACCAGAGAATTTAAACAAATCTAATTGGTATCTCGCTCTCCACATCATCATTGCAGCCAGGATCTCTTTCGCGCAAGAATGGAAATCCAAAAATATCCCATTGGAGGCTACGTTAATTGCAAAGATCATGGACTGTGCAGAAGCAGAAAAGCTTACTGGACTTTTGCGAGATAGACAAGAATCGGGGTTATATAGGAGTTGGGACAGATGGTATGCTTGGCTGAAAAAAAAGAAATCTTAAGAAGAATGAAAATATTAACTTTAATATGAACGTGGGTAAATATTTATAGGAGCATTGCATGACAGTTGAGAATTTTTTTCTCCTGGATAAACTTTTCTTTCTTTTGATGAGTTGGCTTAATGGAGGTTTGTACTTTCTCTAGGCGAAAATTGATACTTTAAAACTCTATATGTATTATATTACTCTCTGCAATTCTATCCATATTGTTATACTTTTTTTTTCTGTATTTTTAAAATAATTTTCAATAAAAAAAAAAAAGGAAAGGTAGCACTGGCTGAAGCTTTAGAGGCGGAGGCTGAACATGCTTCACTCAACTTCAATCCCAGACAGTTAAAGGAGGAGGACTCGAATGAGCATGTCAAAGCCTATGTTGAGGACAAGAACTCCCCACAGCAGGGACAAGAAGGAGAATCTCACCCACTGGCTCTACGAACTACTCAGACGGCAGATATCGTAAGATCTAGACCACGAGACTCCTCCTTTGAAAGTGCACGACCTACCCCGATAAACGAAGACATACGGGACAACCAGCATACTCCTTCAGCAGCAGTGAAGGCGTCTCAGGAGCCAAGCACGCAAACACCACGAGACACCACCTCAGAGTGGAGGCTAAAGAGTTCTAGCCAAACCTGCCAGACGTTCCGAGTGCAGCTATCCAACCCAATGGAGGTACTCCACTTGCCTGCCAGGAAAAAGACCTATCGTCACCTGTGGCATGGGAAGATGAAATTGTCTGTAAATACTCTATAGGGAACTACCAGCCACCGTTGGCACTTAATCCTGCCCTAGCCAATGCCGTAGGGCGCACCTTGCTACCACCCCCATCGTATAACTCTCCTGAAGTCCAAAAGAATACTGCAACATCCTGGAGAAGGATGGACCTGGCACATAGGGGAGTGCACAAGTTCTCCGACAAGTCAGGCATAGATTACATGCTATGGAAGCTTCTTTTTGTAAATGCCATTAAGGGCGAACGATTGGAGCCAGCCGAGGAACTCGGTCATATGATCACATGGCTAGGCCCACGATCAATACAAGCAGTAAAGGAGGTCTATGCATCAAAAATGTACGAGCCAGTTGAAGCCCTCAAGCTATCATGGGAAACACTTGATGAGTGGTATGGGGCACCTACGATGACAGAGTCCTCATTCTTAGAGCAGGTCGACAACTTCCCTGCCATGGACCTCAGTAACCCTCAAGAACTATGGCACTTCTCCAGTCTCCTTTCACAGTTGCGGTCAGCACAAATGGATCCCACCTTGTCGGAACTTAGCTGTCTCGACCTGTATAAGACACAAAGGTCTATCGTTAAAAAACTACCAACGAAACTGGTTGATGCATGGATCGATCTAACTGATAATTACAGGGCAAAGAACCTTGGCAGAGAACCACCCTTTGCCGCCCTTCAAGAATTTGTTGCCCACATGTCGAAGAAGTACAATGATCCATGAAATAAAGACCTTACAATACAAAGGACCTATGCCAGCAGAAGAACCAACCCAAACCTTGGTCCAATCAAGAGCCCACCGCAGGCTGCAAGAGGAACAGCCTCTGTGTCAGTGCATAGCACAGAGGTCGTTCCCCTGTCAATGAGGAACTCCGATGTAAAGCCACCTAAAAGTGCTCTACATCGACTTCAGAAAGCAAAGGAAGAACCTGTCTGTCCACTGCACAAGACCTCACACACTCTGAATAAGTGCAGAGAATTCCGAAAGACGTCCCTGGGCGAAAGAAAGGCATTGATCAGGGAGTACAAAGTCTGCTTCAAATGCTATGCGTCTACAGACCACATGGCCAAAACTTGCACAGTTAAGGTGCTATGTTATCTATGCAAAAGTGACCAGCACCCAACCACCCTGCATCTAGATTGCGAGTCGACACCACAGCCGACTCCTACTCCACGGTCGACTTCTACCTCTCCTATGATTAATGAGTCTCGGAATGACAATGAAACACACCCAGAAGTGACAAGTGTCAACTGCACTTCAGTATGCGGAGACTCACTGTCACCTCGTTCGTGCCACCCGATCTGCCTAGCTAAAGTCTATCCAGCTGGAAGCCCAGAAGAAACAGTGAAAATGTATGTGGTAGTGGACGCGCAGAGCAACCAATCATTAGCCGAATCAGCTTTCTTTGACCGCTTTAACATTCAATCCAAAGAAATACACTTCACAATGTCGACATGTATGGGGATACAGCGCACGGCGGGGAGGAGAGCTACCGGATTCTGCATAGAATCAATAGATGGGAGTGCTAAATTCACATTGCCACCGCTGCTAGAATGTGACACTTTACCAAACAACCACAGTCAAATCGCGACACCAGAGGTAGTAAGCAATATACCTCACCTGAAACACATGGCCAATCTCTTCCCTGCCCTAGACCCTGAAGCCAAAATCTTGCTCTTGTTGGGTGCTGATGCCCCCAAAGCATTCCCTCCCCAGGAAGTGGTCAAAGGCCTTGACCACTAAGAGCCTTGGTAGTACAGTGGTCTAAAGCACCCTGTTATTAAGAACAGCTGCCTGCAATTACTGCAGGTTCGAATCTCGCCAAGGCTCAAGGTTGACTCAGCCTTCCATCCTTTCTAAGGTAGGTAAATTGAGGACCCAGTTGTGGGGGCAATAAGCTGACTTTGTATAAATATACAAAAGAATGAAGGCTATTGCTTAGCGCATTGTAAGCCACCCTGAGTCTCCGGAGAAGGGCAACATATAAATCATTTTTTTTTTTAAAAAAAGGCCCAGCCGGCTCTCCATGTGCCCTCAAGACAGAATTTGGATGGGCCATCATAGGACCTATTTGTATCGACCGGCTGCGAGACCCCCCCTGACTTCTACCAAGCAATTCTAGACCAGTCACCGACCTGGAACTGCTGCGAAGAAAGACCTTGAAGACTGAACCTCAAGCTTTGCATGAATTGTGTCTACCCACAACCTGCATTGTTTGATGATATAATCTTGTTTACATTAGTCAATTAGATAGTTACGTTGCATTGTTTTCGGCTATGCCTTTGTTTATCTCAGTTAAGTAGTTAGTTAGTAGTGGAATTTTATAATTCCAGGCGGGCAGTGTGCTGTTACTGTCTGTGAGTTGTGGTGAGTTAGTTACCTTAAGGATTAAGGATTAAGAGCTGTCTCCTTAAGAGATTGCATTGTGGGAGATGTAGTGAGAGATTGCATTATGGGAAATGTAGTCCATGACATGTGACCTTATCTGTGTGTCTGATTGGTCCCTGAGGCTCTCTGCCGGGGTTTTTAGAA